GACGGTTTTGTGAAAGACATCTAGATATAAGACTTTCAATCTTTGTTCAGATAACCAATTTGTGTTAGGGGATGGGTGCAGTGTATTGTTCAACGTAGTTGAGACGCTGTTTTCTTGTGCTCCAATAGGTGTCTGCTTCTGATATCCCTGCAAATTCCGATACAGGAAGCAGGGCAGCAGGAGCCAGAGGTGCAGCGCCTGCGAGACGGACACCGGGAGGGAGGCGCGGCGTGGTTGCGGACCGAGTTGGAGGCCAAGAACTACACCAACTTGCGACGGCTGTGCGCTATGTTGGGGCTACCGCAGAGGCGCGACGGCGGAACCCTTCGGAAGGAGCAGCTGCTGGAATCCATAGTGGACTGCTTCTCATCGCAGGAGGGCTGGAGTGAGGGGATGGGCGTAGAGCGGTGTTGAACTTTGCACACAAGCTGTTTGTGTTGAAGTAGGTGTTGGCTAGACTCGATAGTGGAAAGCTGCGCTTTGCAGGAAGGGTTGTGTGCGGGGATGGGTGTCTGCTTTTGGTCTCCATGCAAAGTCCCTGACAGGAACCGGGACATCCGAACGCTCAGGACGGTTTTGTGATTTGCAGCTGTATAGTTCAACTTAGTTGAGATTCTGTTTTCTTGCGGTCCAATAGGTGTCTGCTTCTGATATCCCTGCAAGTTGAATGATACCCAAGTTGAATGATACCCAAGTTGAATGTATCTGCGCAAGCGTCACGGCGGAGGAACCGGTGACGGCGGAGTCACTGCGACGCTTGGCGCAGGAGCTGGGAGACCAAGCGCCACCGACCCTCCGAGGTCGTCTGAGGGGTGTGCGTCTGAGGAACGCGGAGCCGTCCTTGGTGGATATAGCTTCGGAGTTGGGCCTACCTTGCGAGCATATGCATCGGAACAGGCTGGTGGATAGCATCGTTCTGTCGCTCTGTCCGCTGCGCGCGCCCGGGGCGGAAGATGATGTGAGGTATCACTTTTGGCGCTGGCTCGCAGATTGCCGGACCGTTCCTGCAGCAGACCTCGTAGCAAAGGCATCTGTCAGTTTTCCTGCGACACAGCTACGGCGATCTATGCTGAGTCTTTGCGAAGATGTTCCGTTGGAAAGTATTGAGAGGAGGCATGGAAGCGCGGCCGCGGAGCTGGAGCAATTGAGCCAGGCCACCGTTGCCATCTTGCAACACCTTTCTGCTTTGAATGTTCAGTTTCCAGCTGAAGTGCCAGAGACTTGGACCACTGCGATGGAACAACTGCAAAGCATCAGATGGCCAGACCGTTTGTCTGGATTGCAGTGCAGTAGTTTGCTGGCTGTGTTGTTGGAGAATCGGCCGCTACAGCGCAGAGGCCGGGCGCGTGTGGACCGGAATTGTGTTGTGGGGTCTGATGTTTGTTTGGCTTTTGTTCGGTCGCAAACATATAGACTGTTTCCATCGAAAATATATTGGACGCAAGGTTGGTGGCAGTTGGTGGATTGCTGGGATCGCGCAGATCCAGTGGATGTAGCAGAGCGACTGTGGAGCCTGGCCACATGTCATCAAGCTGGACCAGCAGTGGAGCCAGACAGTGGCTTCCAGGATCGAGAAGATGTTTTGGAGGTGGGTCGGCAGAAAGCGTGGGACTTTTGCAAGGTTTATGTGGACGTTTGGTTCGGAGAAACAGTTTCTGATTTGATTGGTTGTTCGTTCGCTTGGTTTTTTCCCGTGTCTCTCTGTGCAGGCGGTCTTGGGCGCACTGAAGCACAAGCGCAAGAGTCGTGGATATGACGAGGCAGACAAACTCTTGTTGCGCACTTTGATGCGGCGCTATGGCTGGGAAAGACATCTGGACGAGAGCACAGCGTGCACGTGGATGGAAACCTTTGAAGCAGTCAAGAAGGCAGAGGATTGGTCTCGTTTTGCTTGGTTTCTGGTCGCGCACTTGTTGCACCCTGCTTGTCGTGAGAGTTTGCGTGCGTGGCACAATCCGGTGACCGTTTTGGAGTCGAGATTAGACCGCAGTGGTATTGCCCAGGAGGTGGTTACTTTGCACGATGACTTGTTGGCCTGGCAAGATCTCCACGGGTGTTCTTCGTTGCCCGAGAAGAAGCAGCATGCAGACTTGGCGAAGAGGGTGGGCAAGTATTTCAACAGCAGGGAGGCGCGTGTGAGGACCCTCCAGAAAGCTTATCCTGCAGACTTTGCGCCGCTGCCTGGTTACAGAGTTGAGTGTTTGTCCTTGGAAGGCGATTCCCTGCGTGGTGTACTCTGGCGGTCTGCAGCTGAACGTGCTCTGATGTTTTCGATCCCTGGATGGAGAGAAGAGGGCAAGGGCAAGGAGGAGTTTCATCCTTTGCAGGATTTCTGTAAGCATTGGTTGCCAGAAGCAGACGAGATGGAGTGTCTTGATTTGTTGACCAACACACAGCGCCCTGTCACGTGGAAGCTCGAGCAAGTCGCGAGACGATTGGACTGTTCACCCACGGTTTCTGGTGTGCAAGAAGCCTTAGCCAAGCGCTTACTGCGATCTTTCCCTGAGGATGCAGGTGACTGCCTACAGAAATTCTGCTGTAGATTGTGTCCAACCGACTGCACAGATGCAAAGTCCTTCAAAGAGCACGTCGCACAGGAGCACGCTGGCGTCGGGCTGCAAGATACTCCCCGGATGCTGATTGAGTATCGCAAGAAGATTCTCGCTCTTGTTGAGCACGCAGGACCTCTTGTGTCTCGGTCGATGTCTTGGACGTATTTTGGTGTTTCACTTTGTAACTTCTTCCTGATAACTCCTGTGTGGACGCCGTTCTGCGGAAGCGCAACAAGGACTAGACATAAACAATCTTTTCGGTGCACAAAGGCCAGTCGCGAGCTGAAAAGCGAGAGTAGGCCGGTTTTTCCGTGAGACAGTCAAGTAGTCAATGACAAGCGTAGGGCATAGTGGTTGGTGAACTACATCTCAGAAAAGCAGTGTCCTAGAGTGAAGGAAATGTTATCGCTGCTCGCATATCGATTGTCGCGTCGCCTTTGACAAACTCGTTATATGTTATGAACACAAAACTGCTTCTTGTCATGTCAGGTGGGTGATTTATATGTCATAGTGTTGTATGGGAGGTGTTTTGTTGTTTATGGCATTTTATGTGTGATACATATTTGGTGTGTCCGAACGTGGATGATCGCTGAGGTACCAGGTATGAGCAGACAGAGGACAATAGCTGCCAACTTTGATGAGCGCTTGCGTTGCCCTGCAGGCACGAGTGAGGAGGGCCGAGTGGAAGCTGCCTGTGTGGTGTGTGCTCGACGTTTTTGGGCGCATGAGTTGAACAAGGTGCTACTCTTCACCGACCCTGCCCAAGCAGAAGGGCTACCACAGCTCCCGATGGAGTGGATGCAGCAGTCCGTCCATCTCAGCAGCATCGACTGTGCCGCCTGCTGGGAGTTCCACGCTATGCTGAGCGCTGGCCCCACATTGCTTTGGAGGAGTTGCAGAAGTCTGCCGTTGAACATCCTTTCCTCCCAGGTGAATATGTGCTCTTGCACCGGCGGCGCATGCCGGAAGACGCACGACAGCCGTCCCCTGTTTGCCGGGACTGCCGCACCAGCCTGACAGCCCAGGTTCTGACCTTGCCGCGCCACGCCCTGGCGAATGACCTGTGGCTTGGCAGAGCCTTGCCAGAGCTTCGTTCCCTCTCCGCGGGGACGAAGCGGCTCTTGCCCCTGGTGCGTGTGTGCATGCAGGTCACCGTCCTGCAGCTGGTGGTGCTTCCCCACACCGAACGGCAGAAGGGCTTCATCGGGAACACCATCTTTTTGCCGCAAGCTAGTCCTTCCTCAGTCGAAGCAGTGTTGCCACCCCGCGCAGAGGACATGGCCGAGCACATCTTGTTCGTCTTGGTGGGCCACAACAGAGGCGACCTGCGATCGTCGGCCACGATGCAGGCACCTCGAGAGGAATACGTTGCCGCTGTCGAGCGCCTCCGACAAACTTCCAAGTACTACGCGGAGGCAGCGGTCGATCTCAGTCGATGGTCTGGCCAGGAGGAGACTATGTTTGAAGGCTGTGTCCTTGAGACGGACGCAGACAGCTATTTGGCGAGAGAGCTCTTACAACGGGGACCGGCGGACGCTCAAGGCCAAGAGAGCAGCCAGCAGGAGGAGGACGACGCTGGCATGGCGGAGGACACTGCAGAGTCCGGCGAGCGAGCACACGAAGACTCAGGACAGTTGCGTTTGGTCTGTGGGTTGGTAGATCGTCGTCTCACATTTGAAACTACTGATTCTATATAGATAGACATATACAGATAGTGATCTCTCGTTGCTTGGCTAACTTCTTGGCACACTCCTGCTTGGTCAGGTCATCTGATTTCCAGCATAGTCGGCCTGAATGACACCTCGGACGATGAGAATCGTTGGTTGCGGGTTTGCCGAGATGTGGAGGATCTGTGTCGTCGAAAGCCTCGACAGTATGACACTGATGCAGAGCTGGTCGTGCGCAATCGGGCCAACAATGACCTGGGTGTGGGTGCTGCGCAGATGGAAGGAGCAAATCTACTGGGTCGAGAAGGCGCGCACGAACGTGGAGTCCTTCGTCGCATCCGCCAGGTCCAGACTGTGGCCGCGCATGGGGTGGAGACAGAGCGACAAGCGCAAGGGCAAATGTTTGAGGTCAGGCCACAGAAGTTGGTGGTGCCTTCTCGAGATACCCCTCTGAGCATGTTTGAGCCAGGGACCTGGGCAATGGCTTTTCCTACGTTGTTCCCTTGGGGTGACGGGGTGCCTTTCTTGAAGAGGGAGACGAGCATGGAAGCTTCTGAAGTGTTTCGTTATTTGCTCCTACGCGAAGAGCTCCAGTACAGCGGTGAGGGAGGTGTTGAAGATGAGGTCCCTGCACTACCTCGATGGAGTTTGTCGGCCGCTCGGGACGACGAGTGGTTGCGTCATCTTTTTTTGGGACCAGATTTCTGGTTAATGTCTGTTGTGGCTGAGTTGTTTGTTGGTTCGGACATCGTATAGTTTTGGGGTCTGTGGCAGTTACTATCGTTTAGGAATAGATATTTATAAATTCTTTTGGTCGCACCGCACCGACGCGTCGCTCACCCAAGGAGCAGTTGCTCCCGACGATGTATGATGTCCAACGTCGTTTGACGTTGATGCGGGCCTCCAAGGCCTATGTCAAGAGGAGTGGCTTCGGCCGCCACTGCTCGGTCATAGCCTCCGTGACCTCCGAGCACCTCCTGAAGGCCATGGCGCTGCACGGGGAGAAAGCGGACATCCGCGAGTTGCTCCGCTCCCCGGACGTGGACGTGCCGCTCAAGCGCGCACTGGGTAGCGTCCTGCAGGCCAGTTCCAACGTTTTGGGCACAGAAGGTCACCGATCTCAGATCCGTCTGCGAGGCCACGCAGCTGGGTGGCATTACGGCCCAAGTCACATTTTTGTGACACCGAACTTGGCGGACTCGCGAGCTTCTCTGCTCTTGCAATTGCATCTGCAGGGGGGCTCGCGAGTCGAGGCCTATGAGGTCGACCTGGCCTGGGACCTCGAGGCACCAGCACTGCCCTCGCTGAGCGCAATGCGTCGCATTCTAGCTGCCGACCCAGTCTCTCAAGCAAGGTTTTTTGACGTGATGATGACCTTGTTCTTTGAGGAGATATTGGGCACGTTGCCGCCGCTTACCCGCGCCAGCTTCCGAGGCGGTCTTGCCAGGGACTTCGAAGATGGTTTTGCTGCTTCCACTCATGCTGGTTGCTTTGGAGATGTGGCAGCCTTTTGTGGCCCTCTTGAGACGCAAGGACGCGGTTCCATGCACCCACATATTCTGGTTGTGCTTTTGGGGCACGACCTGGGCAATCGCCTTCGCTCTGTGTTGGCCACCGCAGCGCGCGGGGAACTGGTCATTGAGTTGGAACGCTGGAGTCGCGCCGTCCTACAAGCAGCCAGCCGTATTCGCTACGACAGCCAGCAAGCTCTCAGTCAGCAGTTAGAACAAGAAGTGTGTCCACTACCGCTGAGCGAAAATCAGCGTGCTGCATGTGGAAGGCAATACAGCGACGTGCCACTGAGGTCAACGGAGCCAGACGGCCACGAAGCGGCGACGGAGTCCAGTACACCTCTCCGACTGACCGGATGCTTCGCTTCACTACGTCCACATTATGTCAGGAGGAGCAAGGCCGCTGCTTTCAACGCGGCCAGTTGGTCGGGCGCCCTCTGTCGCGACTATCGTCGCCTCGTCATACAGAATCACTTCCACAAGTGCACGAAGTCTTGTTTCAAGAAGACCCTCGGCGGGTGCAGATTGTTTTTTGTGACAGACCTCGGACACTTTGTTCAGACGCTACGAACGGAATCACCACTGCAGTAACAGAACGAAATTTGGACGGGACACGAACCCGGCGCGGAGGACGTCGTTCTACGCAATCGGCGCAAGGTTCGAGTGTCGCCGTTTTCGTTTCACGACATCAGCATTGTAGCCTGGACGTGGTTATGCGGATCCGATGTCGTTAGTATTAGTTCGGAGTCGGACAGGGATAATAGTTTTGTTTTTGATATGCACCGGTCACCGAGCACGTTATCTGCACCGGTCACCGAGCATGTTATCTCTGAACTTAAGAGTTGTGTGTGACACGGCCATGCAACGTTGACTCAGGAACGCTGCGAAAGGCAAGCGGGGATGTCGATTTGGCTGCTTCCACGTCGAACTACACAAAGAAACGGAAGACTCTGGACTGGAGAAGGTACGCGCGCGTTGTTTGAAGGGATGGCCTCGAGTTCAGCGTGCGCAGTTTATGATTCTACCACGTGAAAATGTTCCATTGGAGGAAGAGGAGGCCATGAAGAATGAGAACCCCCATGTCTTTCAACCTCAACGGGACCATCCCTTCGAAGGCATGTCGAATCCCATAGCTCAAGTCAGCATGCGGTGCAACGTCGACGTGAAATACTTGGGACGTGGTTTTTGCGATGCCGATTTGCAGAAACTGGCTGCCAATGAAGAGGATGGAGACGGACAGGGCGGAGACGCACAGCCACCAGACGGGGAGCGCAAAAAGAAGGACAAGAGCTTGGACGCGCGGTTGCACAGAGTTGTTGTGGATATGTTTCGGGACATGCAGGATGTGCAATTTTATACTGGGGAGTACGCGAGCAAGAAGTTCGAAGTGTCTCGATCTCTGCTACCGGAACTCTTTGCCGGCGTTCAGCGTCTTGAAGCTGAAGAGGCACAGCGTCAGGCAGCTGTGTCAGATGCAGGACGTTAGTTGACTGTTGGATTGTTTTGTCCCTTGGCAACACAGTTCCAAGGAAAAAGTAGAAGTTGTCTAAGCGAATTTACCGCCGTGCTTTTTTTGGGGTCTAGGAATATTAATACCGGCGGTCAGGAGACATGCCGAGCGGCCATGACGCCGCAGTGGCGGAGGCGGCACCGGTGCCCGAGGCTGCGCCGTTGCCTGCAGAAGTGGCCAGGTTGCGTGCTTTGAGTTTATTGCGACGTCTTGCTTTTGGCATGCAGAGATGTGTTGCGAAGTCCAATGGGGAGATGGCCTACCAACTTTTGTTTCAGCAGGAGCAACTGGTCAGCTACAGTGGCTACAACATGTTCTTTCGGTTTGTGCCCTATGCCATGTTTCGTTGTCGCGCAGTGGCCTTGGACGCAGCCGCCGCCAGCGCGCCTCATTTGAAAGTTCTGCCCCTGGAGCCTGTGGAGGCTGAAGAGACTGACGCAATCCCTGTGCAAGAGGTTGCTGAGGTATTCGACGAGGAAGATTTGACGGAAAGTGGGATCCCGACAGGTGGCACGAGGGTTGTGTCGCACAATCAGAAGGATGATTACTTGCATCGTGGTGCTTCAGCCGTTATGACGTCTATGTCTTTGGTTATGTATTCTCGTTATGTGCGACGAGTTCCTCGTAGCCAAGCTGGTCGCGTTGATTACGTCAAATTTTTTCCCTTTGATGAACACTATGCACATTTCCAATTGTCAGTGCAGGACTGTTGCTTCTGTCTTTTTCTTTTTTTGGTTGCTGACGTGTTTTGTTGTTTCATGTTCAAAAACTGCGTTGATTGTGTTTCATGTTCAAAAACTGTGTTGATGGCGTGAAAATATTCCCTTTTCCCTTTGACGAACACTACGCACATTGTCCCTTGTCAGTGCAGGATTGTTGCTTCTGTTTTTTTCCTTGTTCGTTGCTGACGCGTTTAGGTGCTTCATTATTGACAAACATAATTCATATATAGTTGGGCTGTGGTCGCTTTCCTGTGGATCTATTTCTGCGCACGGATCCATCGCTCGGACATCTGCGCGCCCTGTGACAGGAGTTGCGAACAGCAGACGACAATGTTGTGGTGCCTGTGGATTTGCGCCTTCCGGGGCAGAATGAACCTGAGAAATACGCTGCGTTTATGCTGGGTTTGTCGTTGCCCTTTCCACGTTGCCCGGGTGCACAGCATTGTGGAGAAGCTTGGCAATGTTTTCATTGTCATGAGATTGAAAAGTTGGAAGGGAAAGGTTTCCTGCGAGCCTGTTTCTCCAAGACCTGGAAACAATGGAAAGCTTGCATGCAGGTGCGCAAGGTGAATGCGCAGGAACGACTCTTGGCTGGCTTGAGTTTACCTTTTCTGCGTGACGTGGTGGGCTTACGCGAGTGGTGCGATGTGTCTTGTCTCGACGAGATGCTTCTGGATGGAGCAGACCCTGAGATCTCCGAAGAGATGCCTGCGCAGGAGCCCGCAGGAGAAGATGCAGAGGACCAGGGAATTCTGTTTCCGAGCGCCTCCACACCTTCGCCTCTGTCGAGTACCTATCATTTGATGTGGTGTCTCGGGAAGGTTTTCAAGGGCAAGCATGGTCGCTACGTGGACCTACCTCGGATACACGAAAGGATTTGTTGGTCTTTGGGAATCCCTTGTGGTTTTCACTACACACAGTTGACTCCGCTGGAGCACATGTCTCATGTGCAGCTGCAGTGGTTGGAGAGGTTCCGCCTGCACCACGAAGCACGACAGCTCAGCAGCAGCCAGAGGAGAGCCGAGCGCTTTGCTTACATGACCAAGGAAGAGGAGGGCGAAGACGTGGAGGAGTACTGGATACAGCACATGCTTTTTTAGGGGGGGCCAAGTCGTGGTAAAGTGTTTCTGTGTATGTAGCGTAGTTGTTTGACAAGCATCACTGGCAAGTGTCCAGCTGGATACAGCACATGCTTTTTTTTTGGGGGGGGCCAAGTCGTGGTAAAGTGTTTCTGTGTATGTAACAATGTAGCGTAGTTGTTTGATTTTTTGGGGGGGCCAAGTCGTGGTAACGTGTTTCTGTGTATGTAACAATGTAGCGTAGTTGTTTGACAAGCAGCACTGGCAAGTGTCCATGTGCGCGGAGGACGATGTCGGTCCCGTGGACATAGAAGGATCTGATGTGGAGAACGATCTCGAGCACGAAGATGCGATAGAGCGCATGGATTGCGCCGAACATCCTGTGAGCCGAGAAGCTTTGAAAGAAGTACTCTTTCGTGAGAAAGACTGGAAGCGTTGCCTGGCGGGACGCGACAACCGCACGAAGTTTGCTCTGAGCAGATTGAAGCAAGTGGTTGAGGCCATGGGTGGCTTGCCCAATGTGACTGTCAACGTTGAAGGCGAGCGTCCTCTGGATGGTGCTCTTCGTCGCGCATGGGCCTATGCTGAAGCACAAGACATGTTTGACCGGCAATCCCAGTACCTGGAGAATCTGTCTGGAGGCCTTCTGCGTCAGATAGACAGTATTTTTGTTGAGAGCTTCTGCACTGTGCGACACGAGCTTGAGAGATATAATTTTGTTCTGTGAATTCGGTGTCGTTAGTCTCGCGCGTGAGAGTCGGAGAAAATATTTTGTCTTGTTATCACGATAGCGCCCGGAGACGGAGGATATAGTTGGACTCAGCATTTTTTTGCAGCTACTCGTCGTTTAGTTTTTTACAGACATTGATCCATACGCCAGGTGTTCCAGATGATGCTGAGGAGGAGTTTGTCCCGAGTGGCCTGGAAGCGATGACTGCGACGGATCCGTTCTTGATGGATCTGAACGCGCAGAATCTGCGACCGAGGGACTATGCCTTGAAGCTGGTGGAGGACCAAAGCTGGTGGAAAATCATGGGGTGGATCGAACGACTGGTGTCCTTAAGTAGATGTTTCTGGGAGAGTTTATTGCATAGAGGTTTCTTGTTCAATGGGACCAGATTCTAATGGGACCGTGTGAAAGTTCTGAGAAAGTCGCAAGTGTTCCGAACACGCGACAGGAGTGCACGCTCAACGCACAGCAGATTCGCGCTGTGGCTCCCATTGTTTGCACGATCGATGAAATGTGGGAGAAGCGCACCGAAGCAAGCACCTGCTTCGCCAATGGCCAGCCCAGTGAGCGGTGCAACTGTCTATGGCTTGGCGCGGGGGGCTCGGGCAAAACGTGGGCATACACCAAAGTCTTGCGACCTTTGTTCCAGCGCTTCTTTGGCTTTGGTCGCTACACTGCCGGGGCACCGACCCACGCGGCCGCGCGGTTGTTGGGGGCAGAAGCTAGAACTCTGCACAAACTGGCGAACATTTCCCCCAACTCCGCACTACACCGCGGCGCCATCCGAGGGCAGCGGAACAAAAATGATGCCCTGGAGCAACAGATTCTGGCGTCATTGGCCTGCATCGTCGATGAGCTGTCGATGAGCGCAGCGGATGTATATCATGCTCTTGGCCTGCGCTTCTCGGTGAAGCGCTGTGAGAACTGGGCGCTGGACCTGAGCCGCTATCTGCAGGAGTGGTTCGGCAAGATGCCGATAGGGCTACAATTGGGCGACTTCCTACAGTTGCGCCCTGCCGCCCAAGCGAGCCTCTGCGAATGGGTGGAAGTTCCGTCAGCGGTAGAACCAGCGCCGCTGACGGAACTTCAAGAGCAGGCCAGCAACGCAGCCGAGCTGGGGCGGCTCTTGTTCAAGAACTCCATGGGCATTGTGGTGCACTTCACTGGAACTGGGCGTTTCTCTTCTTGTGCTTCCGGCCAAGCTTTGGTGGCCATTTTGCAGCACATGCGGCAAGGCACCGCCATGACGGACGCACTCTGGGCGCAACTCCAGAGTCGCGTCTACGAGGTCCAGCAACTGCAAGACCTCCAGACCGCGCCTTCGCGCCGGGCGTTCTTGCGGGCCTACTGGGGTGCACTTGCCTGGGAGCAGGTTGCTCGGTTGCAACAGTTGCGAGCAGTGCTCGAGGCGGAAGACGCTGGAGAACGGCTGTACTTCGTGCAAGCCATCGACAAGCCCACCGGCGACGCCACGCTGTCTTCCGCCCAGGTCAGCGCAGCTCTGCAGTGTTTGAACATGACCAAGACTGGCTATTTGATTGGCATGTGTCCGTTGTTTCTTGGGATGGAAGTGCGCATTTCGTGCATCTTGCCGGAGCCCTTGCTGACGCGCGAGCTCCCGTGCATAGTGCGACGCATAGAACTACATCCCAAAGAACCTCCGACGCCACCTGGAGCAGCTTGCGTGGTCCTGCAGTACCAGCCGCTTGGAGTCTTGGTGGAGGTCGCAGACAGTGATTATGGTCAGTTTCAGGTCCCTGGCGACGACGTACCCAAGGGTCATTTCTACGTGAGGCCTGTGTTCAACAAGCAATCGGCCTGGGTCTTTGAGGTTGCGCCCAAGCAGAAACTTCGACTTGTTCGGAAACAGGCTTGGGACGCACTAACTTGTTTTGGGCTCTCTGGTATACATCGTATCGTCGCCGTGTCGGTCTGTCTTTCTCGTTTAGTTTCCTTTATGCGCAGGTACCCTTGGCCCCACAGCGAGTGCTGACTCATTTTGGACTGCAAGGCATCACTGCCAGATCTGGCCTGGTCGCTTTTCTGAATCAACCTCCCTGGATGAAGGATGGAGATTACGGTTTGGCCCTCTATGTCATGTTGTCGCGAGCAACGAAGTTGAGCGATTTATGGCTCATTGGAGTGCCTGAGCGCCCATATTTCGAAGGCTTCTTGCATGAGCACAACAAGACTTTGGTGGATCGTATGAGCCTGTTTGAACGTCTGTCTGTGCAGAATGAGCAAGCTGCGGAAAAGTACATCCAGAAGCTGCTTTGGAGGGGAAATGCTTACGTGAACCGCACACTTGGTGTTTCTGGAACAGGACAAGCCAAGAGGCGGAGGCTGACAGGCAAGACTGCTGTGGCCTGAGTCTACGTGGTCTGTTGCAAGTGGATACGAAGATCCGACGCAATCACCTCGGAGAAAGTGGACGTAGCTTTGCTTAGCAGACGTTTCAGCAAGGTCGGGGTTCCCAACGAGAACAGATAAGCTGTAGATCTTTTTTTTGATAGTGTTTTGATAGTGGTGCTGGGACGTGCTCTGGTTTTGGGTCGCGGGTCGCGTGGCCTGCGGCTGCAGGTCCGACACCATTGCTTTTGGCTCCGGGCACGAACGTGCGTCAACGGAACACTGAGACAACGCCTCAGTATTTGGTTCTGTAGAATAGTTCGTTTTCGATCTTGCTCGATGTCCGATGCAGCAGTGACCTCTCAGGGGATGGACGTTATTCTGCGGAATGACTGCGGGGGGTAGATGCAACGCCGCAGGGAGGTCGGGGACCCCAAAGAGAACAGACAAGCTTAAGGTCTTAGACATCGTGAAAGCATCTTGTCGCCATAGTCATCTTAGTACTCTGGTTCTATGTGATAGTTGCCTGGTATCTCTCAGCGCAGAAAATGAAAACTGTAGTTCTTTGTCGTGGTTTGCTTCGCATTTTGCGCCAGGTCCGACGCCAGTGCCTCTGACTGAGGCAATGAGCGTGGTTGTGTGGAAGATAGTCACAACGCCTCAGGGAGGGCGGGGATTCCCAAGGAGCATACAAAAGCTTGAGATCTTTGATCTTCTGAAATGTTCTGTTGATAATAGTGATGGGCAGTACTCTGGTTCTGTCGTATAGGTTGTTCTTTAGATCTTTGATCTTGTGAAAGTTTCTGTTGACAATAGTGATGGGAAGTCCTCTGATTCTGTTGTATATCTTTGATCTTCTGAAATGTTCTGTTGACCATAGTGATGGGCAGTACTCTGGTTCTGTCGTATAGGTTGTTGTTTAGATCTTAGATCTTGTGAAAGTTTCTGTTGACAATAGTGATGGGAAGTCCTGAGTAACTGTTGTATACTTTGTTTTCCACGTTGGTCGAGGTCCGATGCAATTGCCTTTCAGGGAGTGGACGTTATTCTGCGGAATTTCTTTGGGGGGTGGACGCAACGCCTCAGCGAGGTCCGGGATCCCAGAGAGACTAGATAAGCTGGAGATCATCTGGTTCTATGTTATAGTTGCCTAGAATCTCTCAAAGCCGAAAATGAAAACTGTGGTTCTTTGTCATGGTTTGCTTTGCATTCTGTACCCGGTCCGACGCCAGTGCCTCTGACTGAGGGAGTGAACGTGGTTCTGCGGAAGATAGTCACAACGCCTCAGGGAGGGCGGGGATTCTCAACGAGCATACAAAAGCTTTAGATCTTTGATCTTCTGAAATGTCGTATAGGTTGTTGTTTAGATCTTTGATCTTGTGAAAGTTTCTGTTGACAATAGTGATGGGAAGTCCTGAGTAACTGTTGTATACTTTGTTTTCCACGTTGGTCGAGGTCCGATGCAATTGCCTTTCAGGGAATGGACGTTATTCTGCGGAATTTCTTTGGGGGGTGGACGCAACGCCTCAGCGAGGTCCGGGATCCCAGAGAGACTAGATAAGCTGGAGATCAGTGACAGCGTGAAGAAAGTATCTTTTTGCTATAGTGTTGGGGAGTGCTCTGGTTTCGTGTCGCGTGTTGCTGTGCAGTCTGGAGCATTTCCGACGCAACGGTCGCTCAGGGATGGGAAGTCATTCTGTGGAACTTCGCCAGGCAATGATTGTGCGGGTGGACATAAGGCCTCAGCGAGGCATGGAAGCCAAAAGGAATAATTCAGCTTTAGATCTTTGATATTCAGCTTTAGATCTTTGACATTCGTACCGGGGAGTGCTTTGTTTATTTTGTTTGTTGAGCCAGGTCCGATGCAATTACCTCTCAGGGAATAGACGTCTTTCTGCGGATTTTCTCGGAGGGGCGGACGCAACGTCTCAGCGAGGCACGGGATCCCGAAGACGACGCACAAGCTTCAGATCTATAATATCATGAAAACTTCTTTTCGCAGTAGTCCTGGGGAGTCTTCTGCTGCTCTGTTATGGTTTTGGCATGTTGGACAAGGTTTATGGGGAGTGGATGCAACGTCTCAGCTCGGTCCGGGATCCCAAAAAGAAGAAATATATATCGCTCGCAAGATCGACCAGAAGGAATCTCGTTCTTTGTCACACGCCTCTCAGTCTTCAGTCGAGGTGGGACACAAGTACCTCTCGAAGAATGGACGTGGTTCTGCGCAAGTGCTTTGGGGGGTGAACGCTGTGCTACCGAGCTCACAGGGACGTGAGAGAGGTTCAAAGCTTGCTCGGCGAAAGGTCAGCAGCGCATGCGTTGTTCACTTGTTTCTTTCTTGGACATCCGAAGAACACTGTGTGATTTTCACAACAGAAGACGTAGCCTGCAGTCACGCATGACGGTTCAAGCTGATCCTCTGGCCTAGCCACGCGACCGTTGCAGGCGCTGTTCAGTTGTTTCTTACTTGCACATCAGAAGAACGCTGTGTGATATTCATAACAGAAGACATAGCCTGGAGTCATGCATGATGGTTCAAGCTAACCCTCTGGCCTAGCCACGCGACCGTCGCAACAGCGACATAGGTCTCGCGCAGGCTCGGATATGTTTTCGATGCTTCGATCTTTGCTGTGGAATTGATGAAGCTACACCTCGAACATAGTTCTTTGATTTTCTCTTAGTCTCGCATTGCGATGCGCAATGTCGACGCCCTGAAGTAGCTCTGGGACAAACTCAACACGTGCCTGTGACAACAGGCAGTGGAAGCCAGCTTGCTGGCTGCCATTGTCAGATGGAAAGCCAGCACGCTGGCTACCATCATAGTTGAGGTGGGTAAGCCAGCACGCTGGCTGCCATTGTTGAGATGGCAAAGCCAGCACGCTGGCTGCCATCATAGTTGAAGTGAGTAAGCCAGCACGCTGGCTGCCATTGTTGAGATGGCAAAGCCAGCACGCTGGCTGCCATCATAGTTGAAGTGGGTAAGCCAGCACGCTGGCTGCCATTGTTGAGATGGCAAAGCCAGCACGCT